AGGCTTCATTATATAAGCATAATTGATTGAATCATGGGCCATTGGTGACTGAACTCAATTTCCAGCCTCTGACACCTCCCTAGTGGTCAGTGTAGGGGTAAAGGGGACTGAAAGTTCCAACCCTCTAATTACAAGCTTGGCTCCATTGACAACCAGCCCCCATCCTTGGGTGATTTCTAAAGGTCACGTCAACCCAGTTGTGGTAAAAAGGTGCTTGTTACGAACAACAGAAGACCATTTATGGCTTTGAAACAATTTCAGGAACCGAGGACAAGAGAAAAATATTATAACAGAAGATGTTTCCATTGCTCTTATTGCTCAGGAAATGCTAATGAGGATGAAGACTAAATATTTCTTGTTATATCACATACATCTCTCTTATTTTGTCCCTGTGCTCGTGAAGACTTGGCTTCCCTGTCTCTAAGTTTCTATGAAATTGGGGTCTGGCTTCACCCTTGCAAGTCCTTCTGAACCTGGACTCCAGTGCCATGTCTGTCAATGATTCCATCACCTGATGCCTGACTTTCCTGACACCCAGCACATCCCTCCAAGTCTTGATGTATTTCCTTCCATGATGTATCATGGCTATTGTTTCTCAGACCTGCCTGGGGTTCTGTTCCTGACTGGCAGTATTTCTGACACCATCTGCTTGCCTGAGACCACTTCCCTCTCATTTTCTGCTGTCGGGTGCACCCCAATACTTGCAGGAAATAAATAACTAGAGATTTTTAATGAAGTTTCATTTTGAAGGAGTGAGAGCTTTAGTTTTGATTTATGTATAATTGCTCACCAAAATTAAATTCTACACTCACATGTACAAGGTACTTTCATGTACGTTTTTTCATTTAAATTTGATCATAATCCTGTAGACAGGTATTATAATCTTCATTTTACAGCTGAGGAAACTGAAGTTCAGGATGGTGAAATAACTCGCTTAAAGCCACACAGCTTCCAACTGTTAAGACTGGGATCAAAATCCAGGCCTTTTGATGCCAGCTACGCCCTCACAGCTGTGCCTGTTCATCAACTTGTAATTAAAACTCGAGTTTTCTCCCAACCATTAGCTTTTCCTAAAGATAAATATTAGGAAGAGTGTCAAGCAGCTAATGACTTCATTGCATGAAAAAGGACTACAGGGCCTCGAGAAGGGAATATTAGTGTAATCTATCAGAGTTTGTTTGTTTGTTTTTTCATTATTAAATGCATCAGCAACTACATCATGACTTAAGCTCTCTAAGTAACTTAAGCAGATAATTGTCTTAAGGAAGCATAAGAAATGTAGCTTAGTCCAGTGCTGAGACATCTACTGTCCCGGCCTGAGCCCCTGTCAGTTCACACTTGGATTCTGTATCAGTCACGGGCTGGCGCATCTGGTTCATTCTCTTTCTAGCTGTAGTTCCTGAAGCATCACACTGTGAGGTGACTCTTTCTGAGACATTGCTTTTATTATTGCCATACCTCAAATCAAAGACCTTTATTGGCTTTCACTGGCCTGAAACATTAAGCTTAAACTACTACTTGCACGGCATTCGCTGCCCTTCCTAATCTGACCACATCCGACCTGGAAAAGCTCTTCCTCAGTACAGACCATGTCCTCCCTTTATTTTATCTGTGCTGGTTACTCCTCATGCTTCCTGAACTCCCCACATCAAACTCACTTCTTCACAGATTACTAGTGTCTACAGTGGGTGGTGCGCTGTGCTCAGCCCAGCATAGCTGAGTGAATAATATTATGGTGACTGGTTTAGCTGGGGGAAGCACTTGCTGTCTAAACAAGTAACCACAGTGGAAAGTGAGGTTCAAGCATGAGCTGAGAGGGTGTCCTTGGAAAGAGCATAGATTGAGAGATAAAAACCAAGAGATTTAATAAAGAAATATGACAAAGAATAGAATATTGTTTGAAATTTGTGAAAATAGTGCTTTTATAGAGGTCACAAAGTCCTTTAATTTTAAATCTGAAAAGGACACAAAACATCAATTATTTTATTATTTCATTTGAATTTTGGGGGGAGAGGTAATCAGGGTTTATTTATTTATTTAAATGGAGGTACTGGGGATTGAACCCAGGACCTTGTGCCTGCTAGGCATGCACTCTACCACTGAGCTATACCCTCCCCCAAACATCAATTATTTTAAAGGAGAAATAGAGTGTGGTAGAAAGAACATGGGATTTGATGTTAAAATCTCATTTCTAACATTATCCATTTGTTAATTTTGGTCAATTGTTTGCCCTCCCCAAGTCTCATTTTCTTTATATCTAGAGCAGAAACGATGATATTTACCTGTATATATGTTTATGGTAGTCAAGAGGGTTAATGAGTGAACTGGACCACATACATGTGCACAAGCAACAGTGCAGTGCTTAATGAAGGGAGCTATTATTATCAAGAGACATTAGTTTGGATGCGGTTATAGTGTTTGTCTGGAAACCCAGATCCTGAGCACCCTAATCTTGCCTTTTCTTTAGGAAATACGTGTACAAAATAAAGAATCCAGGAAATACATATATAAGGCTGTTGCTCTCAACCCCAATGTGTAGGTCTCCCTTGGGAGCCCTGAATCCTTCCGCTCAGGCATTGAGGAGACCAAAGAAAGAGGCAGTTGTCTCAGTCTGGGGAAATCCTTTACCTCCTAAGACTGCACTGCATGTGCTGTGTTCCCCTTCTCGGGCCAGTGTGACGTGTAAGAGCGGGTCAGGGTGCATCTCTTCACTTGGCATACAGAGCTCTCAGCTGCCCCAAGACATGCTGATATTATCCTTTCTCCACAGACTCAAATTGTATAATTTTTCTCTGAATTCAAGGGAGAAGGAAACCCAACTCTTCTTGGGGGCAGAACTTTAGAAAACAGGACTCCTAAAGATCTCATGTGGAATCTATTTATCTTTGAAAGTCTTTGACATATAGGGCAAAAATAATCTTGGGCAATGGAATATAAAGAACAATTTAAAATAAACTTTGGGCCCTTTTTCTTTAAGGGAAGAAAAAAATAAAATTTTAAAATTGCTTCATTCCTCCTTAGAAAAAGAAAATAAGATGCGCTATTTGATCTAATAAATAAAAACTGAATAAAACGCATACTGTGGCTTTTTGAGGAACAGTGAAAGGAATAAGAGAGGGGAAAAATGAGAGGAAAAAGGGAAAGACAAGGGAAGAAAAAGAGATGGTTTTCCATCTGGGATGAAGTAAGGAAAGACGGAGGCAGGCTAGGAAGACAGGTCAGGTGGGCTGTGGGGAGAAAAACAGGGACAGGGAAGACCAGCATTTTCTTCAGCCTATTCCACTTTCTGCAGCCACATCCCAGCCCCAGGCTGTTGCACTCTCGCATTAGACTGCTGTTTAGGACACATTTCTAAAGCCCTTGGCCCTGAGGTGCCCAAGCCCTGAGGTGCCACCGCCTCTCCTTGGTCCTTCCTCCCTCGCTGTTTTGTCTCATCCACTTCCGAGGCAAGTCGCCCAGCACCTGGCCTAGTGCCTCAGAGAGAGGCCTCTTGCTCTTAGAGAGGGACTCAGGGCACACCAGTCAGAAGAGGAGGGTGCTGGGTGGGGTGTCGAGACTGCCGTGTGCACTTTGAGACGTGGCTACAACTGGATTTGCTGAACTTTCTTTAGGGGAATTAGGAGATGTCCAGTTGATGCTTAATTTCAAGAAATTTTCTCTGTGACCAATGAAATTAGGGTGGGCTTGATCTGGCCATGGGCCAGAGGGAGGTTCCACACCCTGCCAAGTGTAGGAGCCGCACAAGCCTTTACTGAAGATTCATCCTTATTCCTGAGGGCACAGTGGGTGAGGGGGACGGTGCAGGGGGAGGAAAGTCCTGAACCCAGAAGTGGGAACCCATAAATATGTCTATTTTGCAGCACAACTTGGTGAAAGTAGTTTAAAACCCTTTGTGGCCTCAGTTTTTTTCACTTATACAATTAAAAGACATGACAACTATTTCTAAAATGCTGTTAAGTGGAAAAGCTCTGTCAGTTTTGGTAAATTTCTTTGTTCTTTTTCATTAGAATCTCTTTGCAATATTCTGTGAAATGACTGTCAAAGCTCACTTCCAGTGACTGTAAGGCAATATGTCCCACTGATGTCCAGGTAGAGAAACTTCATTGTAAGCGTATATACTGAGAAGACTTTCCTAGTTATTTCTGTAATTCCATGCCAGACTAGGCAGAAGGGGCCTGAGACAGAGTGAAGTCCCACGTACCCTGCAGGATCCTGAAGCAGCAAGGAGAGTCCCAGGCCTGAAGAGAAGGAAAATGATGATACTGTTGGAAACGATGTGACAGTGACCTGTGCAGACTGCTGACCAAAGACCACAGGGGACTGAGGACATCTCACCTGATGCTCACATGGACAGATAACACCCCAACAACAGAGGCTCTGCACTGACTGAAATTTGGACTCCACTGCTCAGAGGAATGGGGAATTCAGGACAGAGATATAGTAAAGCTATAGAAAAACAAAGGAAGGTACATTTCTTTGCATCAGACTTTAGGGCCTGAGAATTTGGATCCACTGCCCACAACATGGAAAGTGAACCTGGTGTACAGGTTCCTTACTCTCAGCCCGTAGTGGGCTGAATGGTGCTCCCCCCACACCCACACATGTCCACATCCTTGTCCCTGGAACCTTTGGATGTTAACTCTTTTGGGAAAAGGGTCTTTGCAGAAGTGACTAAGTTAAGGATCTTAAGATGAGGAGATCATCCTGGAATATCTGGGGGGGGGGCCTAAATTCGACATATAGGATACACATGCACACAGACAAGAAGGTGAGATGAAGACAGAGGCACAGGTCAAGGAATGTCGAGAGCTCCCAGAAGCTGGAAGAGGCAGGGAATGAAATCTTCCCTTGGGCCACTGAAGGAAGTGTGGTTCTGCAGAAACCTTGATTTCAGACTTTTGGCCTCCAGACCTGGGAGAGGCTACATTTCCGTTGTTGTAAGCCATCGAGTTTTTGTGAACTTGTTAGGGCGGGCGCAGGAAGCTGACACAGTGCCCGAATCCATTTCCCTACAGATCTGCCTCCCAGGACAATCCTGAGGAGATACTCTCATTTTAATTCTGAGGTGAACACTCCTCACGTGTCTGAAGACTGACACAGACAGAACTGTAAAGGAAGAAGGAGATCTTAGAGACAGTCCCACTGCTGTACACACAAGGAACGTGCGGTCCTCTGCTTGAGGCTGACAGGTAAGTCCCGGCCAAGCACAGGAGAACCAGTCTCTACCTCCCCGTTGAGCGCTCCCTTCACACCCACGCTGCCTCCTTGTAAGTGCAAAGGCTGCGTCTTACATCTTTTTGTTTCATATATTCATCTACCACTCAGGTACTGACCACAGACCATGAGCACTCTTCCAGGTACTAAAGATATGAAAAAATAAATCCTTTTCTTTATAGTAAGTGCGTGTGTGTGTGTGTGTGTGTGTGTGTGTGTGTGTAGGCGATGGTAGGGGTGAGAAAAAGCACAGAGCATGATACAAATTTTTTTTAATTTTATGAAATGTTTTAAAAATGTACTAAACCCCGATCATAGTTACCTACACAGAGTAGGTGCTCAGATGATTGTTTACTAATATTTATTGATTTAAGTTCTCTCCTATCTCCAAATCCTGAGGAAATGCCAAGATCTTTTTTAACTCCAGGAAGCTTTATTACAGAGCTCTAACCTCCTAACAACACTTCCTTCATATGGGACTGTGGTTTCTTAAGAATGGCTTCCTTTAAAGCAATATTTATATTACCTCTTAAAAACGTAGCACTGGCATTTTAAAGTCTAAAGACAGACGTAGTCTTCTTGGACCCATCCATTATAACAATAATCAAATTCACGACGAGGATATGATGCCACACACATGCTTAGTAAAGTAATATTCTTAACAAGGATGCAAATTAATTAGCAACATTCTGAATCCTAAGGATCACACTTAATTTTAAGTTTTTATATCGGTTAAATATTCTCTCACACTTTATGTTTTATATTTTAGTCATTCTTAACAAACTTCGGTTAAGCTAGTGTTTTGCTAACTGAATACATAATATCCCAGCTTTCTTAACCTCACTTCTTACAAAATTATTAGTTAACCTACTTATACTTGTAATTAACACACTTCATGGTTTTTTTCTTCCTTTTAGAACAGAATTATATTAGTATTTCTAATTGCATTTCAAAAGAATTTCAGCTTAATCCACTAAAAGGCCGTTAAAATCACTTGAACAAAGAGCTGATTATATCTTTTATATAGACAAATAAAGAGACGCCAGGAATGCCAAAGACACAGAAACAGGATGTGGATACATAACTCCAAATATTTAAATGAAAATTGAGTATCAAGTTACTTTCTGATTACCTGGATGCTTGCCAGCTTTTGAACGATATTACATTTAGTAGAGTTTTAAAATGTTCTACTAAAAAACCTTCTATTTTGTAGGCTATGTCACCATGAGAACTAGGACTAAGTCATTAATATTGATCTATGTGACTTCAAGACATTACTGAACCTCTTTGTGTCTCAGTTTCCTAACCTGTGAAATTAGGGTAACAGTAGTATGT